CAGGACATGGCAACGTAACATCACAGAGTATTGGAGAGTGGTCAGAGAACACAGGAGGCAAAGTCACCAGGTTCATGACAGGGAGACCAAAAGAGAGAACCAGGTCCAGGGTGTGACCCCTGGCATGAGTAGGGGAAGATACCCATTGAGTTAAATTGAATGAATCTAGCAAATTAAAAAAACCTTTAGCAAGCACATTATCAGGACAGCAGATATGGATGTTAAAATCACCAAAAAATAGGACATAGTCATATTTTAGGATGCAGTCTGCCACAAGATCACAGAAATCATTAAGGAAGTTAGAGTCAGTCTTTGGAGGCCGATAAATCAGCACAACGAGCAGGCGGGGGGAGATGCACATTTCAAATAAGCACAGTTCAAAGGAAGAAAATGACATGGTGGGTGTTGGCTGTTTACAAGGGAAGCTGGATTTAAAAACAACAACCAGCCCTCCACCTCTGCCCCGTGATCTGGGGGTATTAAAACACGAGCAGCCAGGTGGTACGAGCTCGAGCAGGGCACTTGTGTCACCAAACGGATCCAGGACTCACAGATGCAGAGAAAACCCAGGTCATGCTGAATAAAAAAGTCACGAAGAATAAAAGTTTTGTTCAGCACAGACCTGGCATTGACCAGACCAAACCGGATCTGCAGTGGGGCTGCAGCACCGAGATCGTGCACGGACCCAGTCCCCTCTAACTCTGTGCCCGTAACCGGTTCACCCTCAGAGCCGGCCAAGTTCCCTGGGCAGGGCGCCGAGTAATCCAGGAGACATCTCGGAACCATCGGGTCAGAAGCTGGGCCGAATCGGGCCAGCCACTTGTTCAGGGATCCAGGCTGACGTCTCACGCGCCGGCTACCTCTCTTTCCTCGTCTTCTCCGATGCTTCCTTCTCGAGCTGGGGCGGACAGAGGGCCGACACATCATGACGGGGGGAGAGAGCAAACGGGCAGTCCAACCAGCAGCTTCGTCCGTGAGGTTCATAGCTCGCACAGCCCGGTTCCCAGCGCGCGCTGCCAGCTACATCAACAGAAGGATGAAGCCTCAGCAGCGCAGCTCGATCATATGTCAGCAGAGGATCCACACCATTCAAAAAAGGGATCAGCGACAAGAAAAATGCATAAAAGCCAATAAAACGCCAATAAAAGCCAGTAAAAAGCAAGGTATCAGTGCGTAAAGAGGACGAGCAGCTCGCAGCGTGACCCTGCGCGAGTGCCATCTTACTCCATCCCAAACATTAACATCATTAACAAAAAAAGCCCTTGACCGCCTTCAGTTGGGCCAGAACTCTGCAGCAAGGCTCCTAGCTGGAGCAAACCGAAGAGCACACATCACTCCTATTCTCATGTCTCTGCACTGGTTACCCGTTAACTTTAGAGCTCATTTTAGAATCCTGACTATAACATTCACTGCTCTACATGGTCAAGCTCCTCCCTATATTACTGAACTGTTAAAGCCAAACTACAGATCACTACAGCTCCAACCCGAGCCTTCAGGTCCACCCACCAGAATCTTCTAGAATTTCCAAAGACCAGATACAAAAGTCAAGGTGATCGCTCCTTCCAGACTGTTGCACCCTGACTTTGGAACGATCTTCCTTTATCCTTACATAGTATTGACAGTCTGGACACTTTTTAAAAACAGTTAAAGACCTTTTTATTTAAAGCTGCTTTTACCTACAAATTAGTTTTTCTTATTTTTAACTCAAATTTGTAATCATCTTTCATCTGTTAATGAAATTCTATAATTTAAAGGGGCATTATGGAAGTTTGACAGCCAAAACATGTATAGAAATAATAAATTTGTTCTTCATACATTCTCCTGCAATGCCCTGGTCCTGTAGAATGAGCCCTGGCATTTTTACTGTGATTGCCTGTTTTTCTGTAAAATCACAGAAAAAGAGAGCTGCTCGGGTCGAGCAGGCTGCTTCATGCGCGCTCACGCTCAGGCATAGCCCGTAGCATTTGCTATCAGTAGCTTTAGCAGCAGAGAGTGAGGTAGTGCCAACTCAGCAACTTTGTCGCTGTTCCTAACGCCTAGTGATGAACCTAGCTACATTTCTGAGGACCCGCAGCTACTTTCTTCTAGATATTTCCTGCAAATTAGCAACAAAATAGCCATTTTCACTCCGAACCGTTCTTTGAACGTTATTTCAGCTGTCATCAAGGATATAAAAGCTACAGATACAAAAGACGTCACTGGCGCTTTAGCTAATCTAGAAAGATGACGGACTCCCGTGCAGAAGATCTGGGTTCGAATCTAGATGTGAAGAAAATTTATTTAGAGTTTATTTTTTACATTAATGGTATATTTTTTACAGTAAGATGCCCAAATTTTTATTTGAGACTCGCCGAACGGCATTGAATTCACAGATAAAAAAGATGTGGGTTCATCTTAGGTGTGTTCTTGCTGTGTCTTTGTAAATCCATGCTTTCGTTCTTTTTTAAACACAGAAACAGTTTTGTTTACCTGTTTGTAGCTACGGTTTCGCCGACAGCTGCCGGCTTCTTCAGGCTGACGCTGATGGTGGCGCGTCACTTCCTTCTCCGTTTATCTGCGGGCAGCAGAGGACGTTGTCGCCCTCTACTGCCCGCTCTCCCCTCTCCGACGATGCAGTCCCATGCGTGGTCCAGCGTGTAAACTCCGTCGTCCCTGTTCATGGTCCCACATCCACGTCTCCTTATCTCTATTGCTTCCAAGACAAAACTTTACATAAAAGGACAAACCTCACAGCAGATGACATAGCACAACTGATAGGACTGGTAGCTAACTCCACTTACTTCACATACGACAACATAATATACAAACAACTGGAAGGCTTCGCCATGGGTAACCCGTTATCAGCCACCCTGTGCGAGTTTTTCATGGAAGACCTGGAACAAAAAGCCATAGCCACCGCCCCCCCAAACTGCAAAATAAACTATGGAAACGCTACGTAGACGACATACTGGAAATCATACCAAAAGGTCAAACAGAAACACTAACACAACACTTAAACAATATTGACGACACAGGCAACATAAAATTCACTTATGAGTTAGAAACAGAAGGCAGCATAGCATTTATGGATATGAAAATCACCAGGCAGACCAACGGGACCCTAAACATAAACACATACAGGAAACCAACACACACAGACCAATATGTATTATGGACATCAGAACACCCCACCATACACAAAATGTCAGTAATCAGAACATTATATCACCGAGCAAACATAATAACAGAAGAGAGAGACCGTAAACAAGAGGACAAACACATACAACACGCTTTAAAGACCTGCAGATACCCGACATGGGCAATAAACAAAGGAAAACAACAAACAAAAACAGAAAGCAAAGAACAACCCAAAAAAAGAACCAGAAACCCAGAAAGACAAGAACCAAAACCAGTGATAACCCTACCATACATCAGAGGCATAATGGAAAAAATAAGAGCAACAATGAAAAAACACAACATAAACACACCAACAAAGCCATACACAACAGTTAGAAACAGACTAGTACACCCAAAAGACAAAATATCAGCTGGACAAAAATGTGGAGTCATCTACGAAATCCCATGCAAAATATGCAATAAAACATACATAGGAGAAACCGGACGCCAACTCAATACACGGACAATAGAACACAGAAAGGAGTGCGAGAAAGAGGCAAATCGTAAATACACAAGACCAGCAAAAGAAGAAGCAGAAAGTACAATAAAAAAGTCAGCCGTAACAGATCATTGCTTAAGAGAAAACCATATAATGGACTGGGACAGCACACGGATCATAACCACTGAACAACAAAAATACAAAAGATGGATCAAGGAAGCAATAGAGATAAGGAGACGTGGATGTGGGACCATGAACAGGGACGACGGAGTTTACACGCTGGACCACGCATGGGACTGCATCGTCGGAGAGGGGAGCGGGCAGTAGAGGGCGACAACGTCCTCTGCTGCCCGCAGATAAACGGAGAAGGAAGTGACGCGCCACCATCAGCGTCAGCCTGAAGAAGCCGGCAGCTGTCGGCGAAACCGTAGCTACAAACAGGTAAACAAAACTGTTTCTGTGTTTAAAAAAGAACGAAAGCATAGATGTGGGTTCAACTTTCATTTTGGAACAATTTTTCAAGCAAGGGAAGGGAAGCTCTGTGAAGCTGACAGACTGACCCATCTTAAACCTTAGTCGGCTGTGCTGAAGCGAAAGGTACAGAACCAAATTATTTAATTAATTAGCTGCACGTTCTCCTGTCCTCCGGGCCACACACACACGGAGCTGACTGTCTCAGCTGTTATTTTCGTTAAGGAGTGTGCACGTACAGCATGCGCGCCTCGTGCACGAGCCTACTATTGAAGCTGCCGTTACGCTTTTTGCCTGAGGGGGCAATCGCGAGCATAAAAATTCAACTCACAGCAGTAAAACGGTCCGCACTCACAAACACACCTGCACGTGCTACGACTGTGAAACACCGTCTCCACAGTATACTTATTGCTATACTATGTTAGAACATTTTTAAGAGGCATGAAGAAAATTCTTTAAGCTAATTTGTTTTCCAAATTTGCTATTGCAGCTTTAATATTACGAAAAAGAAAATAAGTTGGTAGTGAATGTAAAATGGTTCAAACTGCAGCTAAACACAAAAGTCTGTGCTATACCTTCATGTTTATTTTTATTTTTTACTATGCTACTATAACTTTACTCTGATTTGGGTTTGTACATCATTTCACTGCACAATCACTCTAGAGATAAATAAAAACCTCATAATCCTGGTCTAACTTGTATTTATATAAAATGTGTTTTGCATTTACTCATCAAAATAACATACATTTTTCCTAAAGGGCAGATTTAACACTAATAAGAAAATTAGGAAACACGTTGAATATAAACTTTATAAAATTAAATTGATCAGGCTGAGCTGATATCAGTCAGAGCAATTCAGCTGGACGGTTTCTTCACCTTTGCATGACACCAAGAGGCCAAGATTTGGTGATGAGTGATGCATCTTGTGTTTTAGGAGTGAAGTCAAGAGTCTGCTGCTAACGAAAGTATCCACTAACATGTGGTGAGTGTTTTTGTTTTTAACTTCATCCATGTGCTTCTCATGTAAACCACCACCTCACATCTTTCCTTAACCACTGTTATTTGTGCTCAAATAGCAGCAGGTCTTAAATTTTAAAAAATGTGGTTTGAACGTCAGCTGATTTGTGACGTAATGAGCCACGGTCAGCCACATACTCTGTGTGTACATGTTACTGTCCGATGCATTGTGCTGTGTTTTCATACAGCATACAAATTATTTTGTGTGTGTGTGTGTGTAGATGGGTAAGAAGCATCTGAACATCAACGCCGAGCTTGTAGCGTAGTGGAGATTGGACAAAGTACAGCGATGAAGTCCCTCCGCAGAAGAATCAGCAGTTGCAAGAAATCCTAGAAGAGTTGGTGCTGAAGATTCCTCGCCCCATGAAGATGGCAGCACAATCCCAAACCGTATGATCCAGTTCTGTCTTTAAACACTTTTGTTTCTGTTTTTGTAACAGCCTGGTCAGAACTAAAGCTTTTTTCTTTATAAGCACAGGGAAACTTCTCAGGTGTTTCAAATTTTCCTCCTGAAACTCACAACAAAGCTATTCATTCTGCTTTTTGTAACATATAATTATGAATGAACAATTGAAGAGATTAAACGTTAGGTTATGTATATTACCACTCTTCCATGGAGAGTAACAAGGTACTACAAAGGTACTATGGACTATGGGACATCACACAATTGTTTGCTAAAGGTGCCAGGAGAAACCCTGTTAAAAGTCTCGAGGCGAGCAGAAATGGCTGCCAAATAAACTTTAGAAGTTGAGAAGGACAAACCCTTGTCCATCAATTACTGCAGAAATGTTAGAAAGTCCACAATAGTTCCGTCTAGACAGCACTTCTCAAAAGCCCTCCACTTATAAGCCTACAAGCCCCTGGTGGAACTCTCTCTCGAGCTCTGAGTCAGGGATACCATCCCTGGAGGAAGACCCTTAATTAGTAGGTTGGACCTCTCAGCAGATAAACATGCAGTCTCCACAAGTCTGGACGAGGGTGCAGCACCTCGCTCTCTGCTTAAGGCTTGGTTTATGTTTGACGCATTTACTTTCCGCTTGGTGATACGGCTCGCGGATGGAATGCGCTTCACAACTTGCAGCGTTTATGGTTCATGCGGCTTGTCTCAGGTGAGCCAATATTCTCCCAAACTGAACGGGGCAGCATGGAGCTCTACGGCATGCATCCAACACTACACCATAGTAGAAGTAAAAATTACTGTTGTTTACTACATGACATTCCAGCATTTTTTTAACAGTGTCCTCGACTTTTCCGACAGTGCGAGCTATTTCTCTCCAAGAATTATTAACAACATGTTGATCACGGTGATCTTTGAGAACTGAATCATACAAATGTCTGTATTTACGAACCTCTGCCACACTAGTTCTTGCCAGTCCGCCATGTTTTTCCACGTCCGACCATCCGCGTGGTTAGAAAATTTCCTAGGTGCACAGTGCGGAAATTCTGGGCCGTGCGGAGGCGCAGTGGAGGGGCGTGGTTGTTAAAATGACGCAATTTTGCCGTGCGAACCTCGCGGATGCGTCAAGCCTAAACCAAGCTTAAGACAGAAGGTCACGTCTGATGGGGAGCCGCCAGGGCAGGGCCGCCATTAGACTGATTACCTCTGGGTTCCTGAACATCGTGGTCCACAGAGGGGCCACCATAATCAGGGACAGGCTCATTGTGTACACAACACATTATGGATTAATTCCACCTTTGGGTAGGCATATAGGAGAACTCCGGGCCCCTTTTTTCGCAATGACATAGTAGCGGCTGTACAAACCAAGTTGGCGGGTACCGCTCGAATAACTCCCTTCATTAACCGCATCTGAATTTCCTTCCTCAACACAACCGCTGCATTGGCTTTCACCATAGTCTGCACAACGGAGGTCAACACATGTGGCTTGACCCAAAACTACAGTTGGTAACTCATGGCGACAGTATGCTCGACCCACAGGGACATAGCGTATATGTGAAAGAGAGGAAGGTTTGCCGCAAGATGGCTGGCCCTTAATACCTTTAAGGAAGAGCTCTAGCAGAGTGGTAGGACTCAGCTCTTTGTCTTCGACATGTGCACTGAACAGTGTTTGCAAACTGGGGAACTTCTGCCCCCTAGTTGATTGGGAAAGGGCAGTCCCTCTTCTTTCACTCAAAGCTGTTTGCCAGAGATGGAAATTGTGGCATCGACAACTCATCTTCACGCCGTCTTTTTGTTCTGTTCTGTTCAGTAACTGAACCAGGTTCACTCACTGTGCTGATTGATATCACCTGGTTTAGTTGCTGAGCTGAAGAAAAACATGGCATGGCTATGACTTGTTGACGCCACAAATCCCCATCTTTGCTGTTTGCTGATAGGACATATGTTGAAATTTGAGCTGTCATACTTCAGCAAAGCGGTTGGACACTAATTTATATGACCAACTTGACAGACAAAACTGTCTTTATTTGAACACAGTGCAAATTTGTCACTACAGTATATTCTTTGCCACTCAGAGGAGGTACACACCGTGCCCTGCTTGTGACTCCATTCTCATTTGCTGAGAAAGAAGAAAGAAAGATATCATTTCTATAGTGCCTCATGATAAAAATCACGAGGCGCTTCACAAAAACAAAAAATGTAAAAATATAAAAAAGAATTTAGAAAATGGTTAAAAATATATTTAAAATGGGCAAAAAATGGACAATTGTGATTTTAAAAAATGTTAAGAAAGAGAGAGAGTGAACAGGAAAGAGGGAAATCAGTGGGTCCTGAGGAAGGTGGAATTGGTGGGGAGAGCAGAATAAAGAGAGAGGGGTGAAGAAGGTCATACAAAAGGCAGCTTGAACAAGTGAGTTTTCAGCTGCTTTTTAAAGGAGTCCACTGAGTCCACTGATCTCAGGCTCAGGGGGAGAGAGTTCCAGAGTCTGGGGGCCACAGCAGCAAATGATCTGTCGCCTTTGGTCTTTAGCCTGGTGCTCTGCACAACCAGTAGGCTTTGATCACTAGACCTCAGGGACCTGCTGGGGGTGTAGGGACTGAGAAGATCACCAATGGAAGATGGTGCTTGTCCATGTAAGGCTCTATAGACCAGAACCAGGATCTTACAATGAACCCTGAAGTTGACTGGCAGCCAATGAAGCTTGAGGAGAACCGGGGTGATGTGGGTGTGTTTGGAGGACTTGGTCAGATTCCGAGCACAGGCATTCTGAACCACCTGTAGACGGTTCAGGGAGGTTCTGCTCAGACACATGAAAAGAGAGTTACAGTAGTCTAAGCGTGAGGAGATGAAGGTGTGGATAATGGGCTCAAGTTCAGAGCAGGATAGAATGGGACTCAGCTTAGCAATGTTCCTGAGATGGAAGAAGGAAGAGCGAACAAGAGAACTGACATGAAAATCCAGGGTGAGAGCTGGGTCAAAGGTCACGCCAAGATTCCTGACAGAAGGTTTGGTGTGGGAAACAAGCTGACCAAGAGAGTCTCTGACTTTGGGAACCAGATTGTCTGGGGCACAGATGAGGATCTCAGTCTTATCTTCATTCAGCTGAAGAAAGCTCCCAGCCATCCAGGTTTTGATAGAGTCTAAGCAGGTGTGTAACAGCTGCAGCTTAGACATCTCATGGGGCTTAAAAGAGATGTACAGTTGGATGTCGTCTGCATAAAGATGGTAGGAGATTCCTTTGAAGGAGCTCAGGATGTGCTGAAGAGGAAGCAGATAGAGGAGGAAGAGCAGAGGCCCCAGCACAGAACCTTGTGGGACACCATGGGTAAGGGAGGTGGTGGAGGACCTAAACTTGGAGACGGCCACGGAAAAGGAGCGCTCAGAAAGATGAGAGGATAACCACTCCAGAGCAGTTCCTGATAGGCCTACCCAGTCTCTCAGCCTCTCCAGTAGCAGGTGATGGTCAACAGTGTCAAAGGCTGCAGTCATGTCCAGCAGGACCAGAACAGAACTGTCCCCTGCATGAGTCAGAAGGTCATTAGAGACCCTAGGAAGAGCTGTTTCAGTAGAATGAGCTCTACAAAAACCTGACTGGAAGCAATCATAGATGTTATGTTCATCAAGAGCAGCTGTGAGTTATTTAGCCACAACCTTTTCCAAGATCCTGGAGATGAACGGAAGTTTAGAAATGGGTCTGAAGCTGCTTTGGAGAGAGGGGTCAAGACTCGGTTTTTTAAGAAGCGGGTGGATTATAGCATTCTTAAAGTAAGCAGGGACCTGACCAGAAACCAGAGAAGCATTAATTATAGAGAGCACGCTGGGACCGATAGACTGAAAAGCACTTTTAAACAAAGATGAGGGTAAGATGTCGAGGGGGCATGCAGAGGTCTTCATAGAGTTAACTATTTTGGTTAACTCAGGGAAAGAAACAGGAGCAAAGCTATCTAGGATGATGGGCCTGGTTGGAGTCGGGAGAGGCAGAGATCAGGCTGAAGGAGAGATGCTATATCTAACCTTATTGACTTTGTCCACAAAGAAAAACAGAAAGTTCTCACAGTCTGCAACAGAGTGGATGGAGGTTGTAGGAGAGGCAGGAGAGACGATGCTGCTGATGGTGTTAAACAGCACCTTGAGGTTGCCTTTGCTCTCGGACACGAGGTTGGAAAAATAGGAAACCCTAGCGTCTCTGACTGCAGAGTTAATGGATGTCAGAATATCCTTTAGGTGCAGCAGATGGACGTGGAGATGGGTTTTCTTCCACAAGCGCTCAATTTTTCTGCATTGGCGCTTTAGGCTGCGAAAGCTGTCATTAAACCAGGGAGTAGGGTTCACTGCAGGAACTGATCTGGTTCTGACAGGACAGATGTTGTCCAGAATGGAGAGGCAGGGCTTGTTAAACTGAGAAGTTAAGGAATCTGGGTCGTTATCAGAAGAACAGGGTGGATCAAAAGCAGCAGAAAAGTTGCTAGCTGTGCTCTCATTAAGAAAATGAGAACTAACCATACGGCGAGCAGGAGGTGGGGACGCAGAGACTGACAAGTTAAAGAAAATGCAATGGTGATCTGAAATATAAACGTCCTCAGGACAAACACTGTCAGCATTTAGACTCAGGGTAAAAACAAGGTCTAGAGTGTTCCCCCTGGTGTGTGTGGGGCCAGAAACATGCTGGGTAAAGCTGAAGGAGTCCATAAGGCTGGAGAAATTCATGGCGAAGTGAACAGAGAGATCATCAACATGGATATTAAAGCCACTAACAGTCACCAGTCTGGACAGCTTCACAGTGGAGGATAGAAAGTCACTAAACTCCTGAAGGAAAGAACTGTTTGGACCAGGTGGACGATAGACCACAGCACAGTAGAACGGGTTTTTACGCCCGACTTTGATCAGCTGCAGTTCAAAGGAAGCAAAGTGACCAGAGGTTGTAGAGCTACATGGAAGATGGTCTCTGAAAACAACAGCTAGGCCTCCACCACGACCAGAACCCCGGGGCTG